AGGCTCCCCGGTCTCTGGGATTCTCCAGGCAAGAACACTGGAGTGGGTTGCCATTTCCTTCTCCAGTGAGTTAAAGTGAAAAGTGAAAGAAGTCTCCACAGGATTTTCCAGGCAAGAGCAATGGAGTGGGGTACCATTGCCTTCTCCAAGTGGGCCTTAGGAAGCATCATTATGAATAAAGCTAGTGGAGGTGATGGAATTCCAGTTGAGCTATTTCAAATCCTGAAAGATGATGCTGTGAAAGTGCTGCACTCAATATGCCAGCAAATTTGGAAAACTCAGCAGTGGCCACAGGACTGGAAAAGGTCAGTTTTCATTCCAATCCCAAAGAAAGGCAATGCCAAACAATGCTCAAACTACTGCACAATTGCACTTATCTCACACACTGCAAAGAAATGCTCAAAATTCTCCAAACCAGTCTTCAACAGTAGGTGAACTGTGAATTGCCAGATGTTCAAGCTGGTTTTAGAAAAGGCAGAGGAACCAGAGATCAAATTGCCAACATCTGCTGGATCATCAAAAAAGCAAGAGAGTTCCAGAAAAACATCTGTTTCTGTTTTACTGACTATGCCAAAGCCTTTGACTGTGTGGATCACAATAAACTGTGGAAAATTCTGAAAGAGATGGGAATACCAGACCACCTGACCTGCCTCTTGAGAAATCTGTATGCAGGTCAGGAAGCAACAGTTAGAACTGGACATGGAACAACAGACTGGTTCCAAATAGGAAAAAGAGTATGTCAAGGCTATATATTGTCACCCTGCTTATTTAATTTATATGCAGAGTATACCATGAGAAACGCTGGGCTGGAAGAAGCACAAGCTGGAATCAAGATTGCCAGGAGAAATATCAATAACCTCAGATATGCAGATGACACCACCCTTATAGGAGAAAGTGAAAACGAACTAAAGAGCCTCTTCATGAAAGTGAAAGAGGAGAGTGAAAAAGTTGGCTTAAAGCTCAACATTCAGAAAACTAAGATCATGGCATCTGGTCCCATGGCTTCATGGCAAATAGATGGGGAAACAGTGGCTGACTATTTTTTTGGGTTCCAAAATCGTGGCAGATGATGCCTGCAGCCATGAAATTAAAAGACGCTTACTCCTGGGAAGAAAAGTTATGACCAACCTAGACAGCATATTAAAAAGTAGAGACATTACTTTGCCAACAAAGGTCCATCTAGTCAAGGCTATGGTTTTTCCAGTGGTCATGTATGGATGTGAGTTGGACTATAAAGAAAGCTGAGAGCCAAAGAATTGATGCTTTTGAACTGTGATGTTGGAGAAGACTCTTGAGAGTCCTTTGGACAGCATGGAGATCCAACCAGTCCATCCTAAAGGAGATCAGTCCTGAGTGTTCATTGGAAGGACTGATGCTGAAGCTGAAGCTCCAATACTTTGGCCACCTGATGCGAAGATCTGACTCATTGGAAAAGACCCTGATGCTGGGAAAGATTGAAGGCAGGAGGAGAAGGGGACCACAGAGGATGAGATGGTTGGATGGCATCACCAACTCGATGGACATGAGTTTGAGTAACTCCAGGAGTTGGTGATGGACAGGGAGGCCTGGTGCGCTGCAGTCCATGGGGGCCTCAAAGAGTCAGACATGACTGAGCAACTGAAGTGAACTGAACTGAACTGATAAACAGAGGCATATCCAAACAGACCTATCTATCAACGCATATCTATTCATAAGCATACGCACATTCATGGTCATACCCATGTGCATATATGATGGTTGGATGGACAAGTTGGTGTGTTTTATGACATGTGCCATAGACTTCAAGTTATAATGTGTTAAGAAGTCAAATGCCACTGAAGCAACGTTTCAGATTTGTGTTTTATTTGCTTTAAAGGTGGTGTTAGGTTATCGTCATGACTTGCGGATGCAGCCCGGCTCCTGAACACACTTTGATTCGTCAGCGGACCTGTTAGTAAACTTCTCCACGTCTGTGTTCCACTCTTTGTTGACTTCAGAAGATTAAGTGCAAAAATGTACCTGATGGCTCATTCTGGAGCTTTCATTTATAAAACGACATCATCCTTTAAAAAAATACACCTTATTTTCTTGTATTTTCCCTGGTTGCTCAGACGGTAAAGAATCTGCCTGCAATTCAGGAGACCCAGGTTTGATCCTTGGGTTGGAAGATCCCCTGGGGAAGATCTGCCCTCTCCAGCATCCTTGCCTGGAGAATCCCGTGGACAGGAGCCTGGCGGGCTGCAGTCCGTAGGGTTGCCCAGAGTTGGACACAAGTGAGTGAATAACATGTTCACTTTCTCACTTTCATTTTCATGTTTATCATAAAACTGTGGGAGATACGGCAGAGTATGGATGAGCAGGAGGTATTTAGCTTTAAAAAGGTTACTGCAGTGTAGCATTCATCTGTGATGACAGTGTGCGTCTCTTCCCGCAAATGCTGTTTTGCAGTGCTGAGGTCCTCACGGGATACAGTCTGGTATCCTGGCCTTCTCCTAGCCACACTGATGTGTGAGCATTGTCCTGTGTCATTAAAACCCTTTGCTGACAGTTTCCAACAGTTGTGAAACTTTCTTGGTTTGGTGCCCGGCCGACTCACTCTCCCCTGGTTCTTCTGTCCGGCATTTAGTTGTGTTCCCTGTTTTGAGATATGGGGATTATCTCATGGTGAACCTCTTTGAATTAAGGGTGATTTTCTCTTCACTTCTTTGGAAGTGAAATGACTGTGCCAAGAGATATGAGCCATCTCTGGCTCCTGCTATGTCACCAAGTTGCTTCTGAATCTGCACGCCCAAGGTGGGTGTAGGCGCCCACGGCTCACGCACGCTTCTGCTTGAACTTGTTCAGTGTGGGGACTTTTCATCATTCAGCCCCTCTTTTGCTCCATATGGACCCCAATGTGACGCCCCAGCGCTTTGCTGGCATTCTAAACCCAGCCTGAGTCCGTTCTTGGGAAGAGGAACCTGGCTGGAGGGGCCGCCCTTGGGTGTGGTCACAGCCCGGCGTCGGTCGGTCGGTCCTGGCCCCCACCTCTCCCGCTCCTGCAGCTCCGCTCGCTCTCACCTCTTTCTCCCCTCACCCGCCCCCAGCGGACTGGAGGTCAGGCCTTCCTCCTCGCGGTCCAGGGGCTGTCCCGGTCAAAGGCCCTTCTCCCGCACCAGCTGCATCCTCTTCAGAAGGGGGCCTCGGACGCAGCATGTCCCCCTGGTGACCATAACTCGAGATGAATGGGATCGTGCCCCTTCTAACCCGAAGGAAATGGCTTTCAGATTATTACAGACGGAGGGTGGTGTTGGGCACTGGTCACTGAATGTCTGTTTCTCCCTCCATCCTGCTCTGTGTAGAACTTAAATCTCTCAGGCAAGTGCCTGCTGCATAAATACATACAAAGTATAAATAAAAGTTCTGCATGTGGGGTGGGGACAGAGGAAGCTCCCGCTGACCTTAGTTTGCAGTGAGGGTCACACCTGCAGTCAAGGGTCTAGAGGGAAGCTGCAAAACGGTGGGAATAACATGGGGCAGTGAGGAGCCCAGCGGGGCAGAGACACGAGGAAGGGGATCCTGGGGGCCGCCTCCACAGCTGTCGGCTGTGGGCTAAAACGCGGCTCACAGGGAACGTGAGAAATGCACTGTCTCAGGCCCCAGGGGCAGGCCCTGCAATCTGCATTTTAACCAGGGCTCCTGGCACCCTCCTGACCCCTCTTCAGCACCACGGGGCTGACAGACAGAGGCCCCAGCCTCCCGGAGGATGGAAGGGGAGACTGCTGGACACTGGCTGGGGCGTGGGGATTGGGTGGGCTCCCTGCCCTGTGCCCTCCTGCAGTTTCTATGACATTAGTTAGCATGCTCAGCAGGGTTAGGACGCTGGAGACGGAGCACTCCACGGGCGCATCACTCATCGTCGATGACGACAGAGCTGGCACTTTTTATGTAATTACAGTCCGCACTAATTGATTATTTTCTACTTCACTAGATCTATACTCCAAGTCGACGTGGGACGTAATAGGGGAATATTGTGTTTGTATCATGCATTATGTGTGTATCCACCTAGATTCAATACCTATGCAGACAATACACTACTAATAATGCAGTGTACCAGATTTTTAATCAAAGCATCCCTTTGTCAGGGTGCAAAACTAATCGTGTTGTTGTGTGTTGGGGGTCAAAGTTGTTGTAATAAAACATCCATCTTGGAGCTTTTTAGAGGAACCTGTTTAAAAAGGTTAAAGTGGGTAATTATCACACCCTAATTTACGACTACTTGGCAATAAGAGTCGCTTTTCAATGAACCATTTACTCATGATCTGCTGCTCCACACGGCAGGGCTCTTCTTGACTAGGTTAGGAAATGTAATTAATAAATGATAGGATTATTTATGGTTCACGGTGCCAGACTGGGAAATACAATGATATACAGAATGAGCTAAAAATGATCCTTGCAAGCAGCCAGCACACTTTAATCCACGGATAGAATTGTCATATCACTTGATATAATGAAGCGTATCTGGATGGAATTCACAGGATGCTTCTGCACGTTGACCTTCCTCTTTCGGGGTCTGGTGGAAAGCAGCCACGGTCCTTCTGCCCTGGTGCAGAGGTGCACCTGTCCGTCTCGGTCTGGGTGTGTCTAGGTGGGGTTGGGGGTGAGTGGTGGTAAAGAGAGGTTCATATGATTGCCTGTAACAGAGTTCTCTCTACGTGTTGGCTTCCAAATACACAGCAGAATCATCACAAGGAAATCAATCTGACGTCCTCAGCACAGAGGACTTCACACGATCAAATCAAACCACGTCTAGCTCTGCTACTTGGTTTTTTCAAAGGCGACTTTTTTTTTTTGCATAAAAACAGAAGTTTATAGTGCTGTTTGTTTTCTAAACCTGTCACGACTCTGGACGGAGGATGCGCTTGAACACAGAGACGTGTGGGACCGGCCGGAGCTCAGGATGCCCGCCTGTCCCCTGCGGGGTCCGGGCAGTCCCAGGAGGTCTGCACCCCTGCCCCTGCCCAGGGCTGATGACCGCGACCATGACCGGCTTCGAGGCTCCTGTTGAGCCCCCACGGTGCCGCGTGCTGGGGATCTGCAGCCCCGCTCCCTCACTCGGGGTCACGGCTGCCTGTCCAGCCCTGGGCGAGGCCCTCTCAGGCCCTGGTTATGCGGCGTCCGGGGCGGCCCAGCTTGTGTGCGTAGGACGCTGGCTGGGGACCCGCCGGGGACACAGCACCACGAGCCTGGTGCCGAGCCGCCCGCAGCGCTTAGCGCTTCCCACACGGGCGGTGCAGCCTGCACGCTACCCCAGGAAACGGGCCTGTGTTCATGTTTATGTTCCCGCCTTGTCAGTAGTGGTCAGCCCTGGGAGGGCCGGGACCACGAGAGGGAGCACCTCTCTCTGCCCCGACGATGGGGCTCCCGAGATGCCCTCGTGGGATCTGGGCAAGTGTAGCATCAGGCGACTGCCTGAGCTTTCAGTGGTTTCTTGCAATGTTCTGTTTGGAGGGGAGAGTCTAGATTTTTTTCCTATTTTCCTCCAGTTGTGGGCTGGGTAGGAGGCTGGGGAGTGGCCACATTGAACAGAGGAGTCAGTCTGTCCACAGCACCGGCTGCCACGTGCTGAGTGCCCCAGTGGGACACACGGCCCATCTCTGGGTTTTCTGATCGTCACAACAGGTTGGAGTGTGACTAGCATCGCCTTCTTCCAGCTGGAACTGAGACACGGAGGTTAAATATTTACCAGTTCAAGGCTGACCATTTCTAAGTATCTGAGACAATACCTGTGTCCAGCTGCCTTGCCATTTCCATGCTTTGCAGAATTTTCTCACTCTTTTTTGTGCTTAACAAGGAGAGACACATTCTGCTCTGACAGAGCTAAGAAGCACAAATGCTTTCATGTCAGAAAAAGTTTCACTTAATTTCAAACTGTTCAGGTATAAATTATACAGTTTGTGGATCAGACACAGATTTCTAGTCCTTCCTGACTTACCAGCGTTTTCCCAAGTTTACTCATTAGCAAATTTACCCAAATAGTAACAGCAGCTGGAGAAATAAGATTAGAGTAGTTAATGCCATTATTTTTTAAAGTCCCGGTAAAATGGCTGATGGGCAATGAGACATACATTTGATAAAAATGGGTGATTGGGATTTCCCTCAGCCATGCCCTTCCTATTCTTACAGAACTGATGGTTTAGATGCCCTAAGTACTATTTTATGTAATAAAATAACTTTCAGCTTTTCTGATAGACAGACCAATATTTCTTTACCCCAAAGTCTATCATTGTGGCTTTTGAGCTTCACTTGATATTTTAAATAATGAAATAGAAGGATCTTTGTTTGGCAGCTGAGAGGAGAGCATTGCAGAAAGATGGAAGTGCTGGAGTTAATCAGGCTGAATGGCTGTGACATTTGCAAGAAGAGATTGCGGTGAATTAGGATAGGGAAGACGCTCTTCATGCTGAACAGACTCTTCTGTGGATTTAAAGGGGGAGAAAACTTAAAAGCACAATTAACTTTTCCTGGGAGTATTTTTCTTCATGGATTAGAATTTCTGCCTCTGATCCCCAAATTAGTATATTGCAACACCACAGCTCACTGAGCATCTCAGACGGACGTGAAGAGAGGGAGCAGTTTGGAAGTCTTTTGCTAGAGTTTTTTTTTTAATTTATTTATTGTTAATCGAAGGATGACTGCTTTACAATATTGGCTTGGCTTCTGCCCTAGATCAACACGAGTCAGCTATCGGTGTACATACGTCCCCTCCCCCGGGAACCGCCCTCCCGCCTCCCTCCCCATCCCACCCCTATCGTTGTCACAGAGCCCCGGTGTGAGTTCCCCGAGACACACACCAAATTCCTGTTGGTTATCTATGCTACGTGTGGTCCTCTTCTCCTTTCTACCCCCGCTCCCACCCTTGTCCATAAGTCTGTTCTCATTAGAGACTTTTTTTCCTTACTGTATTCTTTTTTTTTTTTTTTAGGTATTAAAGAGTTAGTTGAGTTTTGTTTCTGACCTACCCAACATCCGGTTGTGACTCAGGTTTAAAAATATCTCAGAGAGGTGTCTGGTCATCTCCCCACCCCCCCACCGCCCCGATCCCGTGAGCTGCAGTGCTGGGGCAGGAACCCCTGTTTCTGCCCATGTTGGCCGGGGCTGTGGGGGAGCCTCTGTTTTGAATTGGACGCTTGTTTTCAGGTAGGAGTTTCAATTCTGCCAATTAAGGTAGAACACCTGCTTTCTCTCTATTTTTTCAGTAGATTTACATTTTGAAAAGCCAAGCAGGTGCTTGAATTTTATGCCATTCTAATGAAATGGGAAATTGTCAATGTCACCAAAGTGATTGAAAAATTTCCAAAACGAAGTTGAATTCATGAAATGTTATGAAGCTGTGAGACCAAAGTTCCAACATGGCTTTCAAGCAGCGATTCAGCCAGGGGCCTCGGTGGCAGGGTCTGGAGTGAGTGACACTTCACACACTGTCTCCCTAGGATGTCACGGATTCCCAGAAAGAGCTTGGGGGGAAAAAGCATTGGGATACAATTTTATGTAGTATGTTTAATACAGCATTTTAAACATACCGTGAACAGCAAATTGTCAGGAACTCTTAGGAGTGCTATTATATCCGTGATTCTGGAGCCAGGAAGAGAGATATGGGAAATTGCAGCAATTACAGTCCCATCTCATTGATTAACGCCGATTGAAAATAGTCACAAAAATATTGGCATTGCAGCTTCAGTCTGTTTTACCTAATAACGTTCATGCCAATCAAACCAGACTTTTCAAAAGAAACCATTAAAACAACAGAAGCAGCACCATTTGCCTTTTCAGCGTATGCAACTAATGTATATAAGGCCAACACCGGCAAATCTCTCCTGAGCTAATCGCTTCCCAATTCTGATACTGAATTTGCAATCACTGTTTCTTAGCTTAATCACAGACACAAAGATAGTTAACTCAAAAACGCTGCATGTTTTGATATGTAGAAGGCTGTCAAATTAGATAGTCCTATTATGTGTCCTCTGGTGAATCATTGGAAAGACAAAACCTGAAACCAGATAATGTCTTCCCCAGAAAAAAAAAAAAATAGTTCAAGAGTTATGTTTCTATTTGTATGTCTTTTCACCAAAAGTGAGAGGTTTTACTATGATTAAGTTCCCGAGCGTATGAAGGTTCTTGACCTTCCCCAGTTTGGTGTCTTTTCTTAAGTGTTTTGTTTCAGAAAAGATGATCTCGTTCCAGGTGTTACGTAGGAGCACTGGCTACACCTTGTCTTATGTCTTTTTCCTTATTTACGCTGCAACTTGTCCGTGTCTTTATGTAGGAACACCTTTGGTTAAAGCAGAAGCTGTAGGTATCAAATTCACAGCATTGTGCAAATGGTTCCTCTTTTCTTGCTTTGCTGCTCCAGCCATTGTCCCCGTGTTACTGTAAATGCAGCTCATGCTGATGGTTAGAGAGCATCACTGACTCAATGGATATGAATCTGAGCAAATTCCAGGAGAGAGCGGGGGACAGAGGACCCTGGAGCACTGCCGTCCATGGGGTCGCAAAGAGTCAGACGTTACTCAGCAACTGAAAACAGCAACAACAGATTTCTGCTGAACCGAGAGTGGCGGGTTTGGGAAGAGATGAGGCTGTTTTCTTCTGGACCTTTGGGTGGTAATCGTAGGACACCATTAGCTCTGGAAAGACGCCTCCTGAAGCTTCAGACCTCCTAGATGTGTTTGGCTGGGACACAGGAAGAATGAAAGTTCTTGAAAACATTGGGGCATCACCCAGAGAAAGCTCCTGAAAGCCCTGCCATTTATTTTGCTTTGATGGAAAGCTAAGAAAAGGGTCCTTGTGGACAAGAATGAAACCAGCCTTACAAGTGCAAATTCATAAATTGCCAGTGTGCCCCGGAGACAAGTGGAAGCAAGTGAAAGTCACAGGGTCGCTGCTTCTTCGTGCATTTTCCAGACAATGTCTGCTGAGTAACCAAGTCTGAGGGGACACCGTTGGTCTGGGAGTGGTTCTCCCCAGGAAAGAGTGGCTGGTGAGCAGGCAACGCCGGCTCTTCCCCACACACTCCCCACACCGGCTGCAGCAGGCAGCCCTGGGCTCCCCCCAGAGCCCCGGGCTTCACTGCTTCTCGGGACGTTCCCGAGGGACACCAGCTTCCTCTCCGCCTCGCGCCCTCTGACTCCCGTCCCCTCACCTGTCACGGCCCCTGAGTACCGTGTGGCTCGACCCTGCCCCTCCCAAACCCTACCCTGGGGCCCTCACCCCAGAACTTCAGAGGGGGCCTGATTTGAAAACACAGTGAGTGCAGGTGGAATCAGCTGAGCTCCTCCCGCGGGAGGGCGGCCCTCATCCCCTGACTGGCGTCCTTATGAAAGGGGCGTCTGGACACAGGGGACGCCCCAGGGGATGCCGTGGGCAGACTGGACCCGTGCTGCTACAGCCAGGAAGCAGCAGAGACCTCGGGGGGGGGGACAGACCCCCAACACCCGCAGAGGGTGCGGCCCTGCCCACCACACCGTCCCCAGGGCGTGAGTGCGGTTCTGGTGTGTGACGCCGAGTCTGTGGACCTTTGCTGCGAAGTCCCAGGACGTGACTGCACAGAACGTACTGTGCAGATAGGATGCGTGTGTAGCAGTGTTAGTCATTCAGTCGTGTCCGACTCTTTGCAACCGCACAAGCTGTAGCCCACCAGGCTCCTCCGTCCATGGGACTCTCCAGGCAAGAATACTGGAGCGGGTGGCCATACCCTTCTCCAGGGGATCTTCCCAACCCAGGGATCGAACCCAGGTCTCCTGCATTGCAGGCAGATTCTTTACCAGCTGAGCCACAGGGAAGATCCTTCGATGCATACTGGTTGACAGTCCCCGATTCAGTCAATAAGTCTTTTGTTTTGCTTGTATACATTTTCAGTTCCTTCACATGCTTTTCTTAACAGGATGTGCTTATTGGCATAAAAAAGAAAGTGCTTACCATGCTCACCGGTGAGTCTCAGCTTTTCCACCTTTGCTTTCTTTAAGAAACTTGGTTAAAGCTTTTTGAGAAATAAGCTTCATTGAGTCTTTGGATCCTGCCCTGGAGAGAAGGAACCTACCCCTGATTCCTGAGCTGACTGGCTTCGGGATGTGGATTCTGAAGTCTTAGGCAGTTTGTGGTCAGTGTTACCGTGTTCGGCGCTTTCCAGCTCCTGTTTAGGGACGGCTGTGTCTCTGCATCCGTCCAGGTGCAGAGGGAAGGTGACGGTGCAGGGCAGGCCTGGGCCTGGCCTTGCTCCCCCCTCTCCCGAGGCCCCTGTGAGAGAGGGAGGGGGCCGGGCTTCCAGACCAGGTCCTCTGTGATCTGGGCACAGACCCAGGACCATCCTTGGTCTGCACACGTCCTGCTAAGCTTTCCAGGGATGTCCCACGGCAGCCCAGGAAGGCCAGAGGGGCCCGAGTAGCTTTGTCTTGGCTCGTCTTCCAGAGTTTTGAAATTTTTCCTGACTTTGCTTTGCTGCCTGATGTGGTAGACAGTAGGGCTTCCCTGGGGTCGCAGTGGGAAAGAATTTGCCTGCAAGGCAGCAGTTGCAGGTTTGATCCCTGGGTCTAGAAGATCCCGTGAAGGAGGGTATAGCAATCCATTCCCGCACCCTTGCCTGAAGAGCCCCAGGGACAGAGGAGCCCGGTGGGCTACCGTCCATGGGGCTGCCGAGCCGGACACGACCGAGGTGAGTGAGCGGTAAGCACAGCATGCGGCGGCAGTCTCTTGGAGGGAGGAGCCCTGCCCGCGCCCAGGTGCCATCTGCGCTGTGACGCCTTCCCCCTGGGGCGGCCTGGCCGCGCCGGTCAACCTTTGGGAGCAGGCGCGTTCAGAGGGTTATTAGAGTGATTCAGGGCTGCTCTACCTTATGCAGCTATGAGGGGAAACTTCGCGAGGGGGGCTGGAGTGGCTAATTAAAATGTTAATAGGATTTATAGGAGGATTAAAGAGGAAATGTATGCGGGAGTTTGGAGTGAGGGAGGGTGAGATCAGAGCTGCCCGGAATCCTCGAGGAGGCTACCTGTGAGAAGGGGCTCCGCTCCTGCCGCCCAGGCCTGCCCCCGTGGCTCCCTCCCAGACTTGGGACCCCCCAGCGCCTGGCCCCCAGCCCGGCCCACCCCCAGGGCTGACTGTGTGGTCCAGATGCTGAGTTCCCGACACATGTTGCCTCCCTGCCCACCTGAGTGCAGAACTGAAAACTCCCACCGTCCCCACCCTGAGCCCTGGCCCTCTGACTACAGGTGCCACGTGCTTTCACAAGAGCTGAGTGTGACGCTCGGCACACCTGTAGACACACACCTCGGCGGCAGGGCAGCTCACGAGGCCGCGGAAGTGACACAGGTCTCTCTCTTCCTCGTTTTTTCTGGGAAACATTTGGTGCTGCTCTGGCTTTGGGCATAACTGAGACACCATCTTGATGGGCATCAATCCAAGGCCGTGGGACGTCAGGCGGGTGGCGACGTTGCTTGGGGCTCATTAAAGTCTTGGTTTAAAGCAATGCTTTTCTAGCAAATACAGAAGCAACCGGAGCCCTGAGGCGCAGTGGGCCCTGCCCCCATGGTGCTCCCCACCTCCCTGGGCACTCGAGGGACCCCCGGGGCACCACCCACAGCAGCCTGTCCTGCCTCATCGGGGAGCACGGCTCTGACAGTTGAGATTCCGGGAGGAAGAGCATCAGACCATGCTCGTCCCGCAGTCTGAAACAGCTCTTGGTGTCAGGGGTGTTGGAGAAACGAGTCACCAGGCCCTGGAGGCTGTGACACTCACTCTGCTGGCCCAGGGCCGGCTCTGAAGGTCACAGGGAGAGGCCCTGCATCAGGATGGCCAGGACACTCGCCTCTGAGCCACCAAAAGAATGCATCTTGTGTCAGAGCTGGCGTCTGTCCAGTGCCGCCTCGTGTAGCCACAGGCTCCAGGAAGTCTTCGCTCCAGATCGCTGACTTTGAACTTGCGGGAGCATTCATTGCAGAAGACCCTGATGGTGGGAAAGAACGAGGGCAGGAGGAGAAGGGGGCGACAGAGGATGAGATCGTTGGATGGCATCACCGACTCGAAGGACATGAGTTTGAGCAAATTCCGGGAGACAGTGAGGACAGAGGAGCCTGGCGTGTTACAGTCTGTGGAGTCAATCACACATGATTTAGCGACCGAGTTGCAACAGACACACGTGCCCGCTCCTTCACCAGATTGTCGTCCGGATCCACGGGGGCATGAGTAGAAGGAGGTCGGCTGTGTGTGGAGCCGTCGGGCGGGTTTGGGGGGCCCACCCGTGGTCTGCACCCACAGCGTGTGTTCACCAGTGTGTTGATCCATCTGAACCCCCCAGGCCCACCTCCCCATGTGACTCTGTCTCTGTTGGGTCCCCGGGCAGTGGGGCGGGAGGCCACGTCACTCGGGTCCTTCACGGCGGTGGGATTCCTGTAAACAGCCCCCCAGGCCACTGGTCTCTTCTGTCCAGACCCACATGTGCCGTTGTCTGCAACCCGAACCCCTCTCCTGGGGAAGTGGGCGACTCGGGCGCTCTGTCTGCGTACTGCTTCAGAGACGTGCCAGCTCAGTCGGTGTGGACCCCCGCGTGCTCCCCGCTCACACCGTCTTCCCGCGAGCCCCTCTGAGGAGCCCCCCCTGCTGTCCACGCCCCCCGCCCCCGCCGCCACTCTGAAGTCTCCAGACTGGCCTTGATCCCGGTCCTCCTCTCTGCACTGGGGCCCTCATCCCGTGAGCTCACAGCTCACACGGGTCCATGAAAGAGATGCCACTGACCCTGATGTTCACTCCGGAAGCCGTGAAACTGACTCCAGGGAGCCAAGAGAAGCCACGAGGAGTCTGATTTCAGACATCCTGCAAAGCCAACCACAACGAGCGTCTGCCCTGCAAAGATGGAGCAACGTGGGGTGAAGGGGGCACCAGAGGGCAACGCAGACTCCCTTCCGGAGGGGGTTCCAGACGCCTGCATTTTGATTAATGAGTAAAGCAGCTTTTGTGTAAAGGCTGCCATTTTCAGAGCAGCATTTGCCGCCTGCGCACAGACACACAGTTAGCAGCTGTTGCTTGTTTTTGTCGCTCAGTTGTGTCTGAAAAAGACTCTTCACAACCTAATGGACGGTAGCCTGCCAGGCTCCTCTGTCCATAGGATTCTCCAGGCAAGAATATTGGAGTAGGTTCCATTCCCTTCTCCAGAGGATTTTCCTGACCTGGGGATGGGACGAGTGTCTCCTGCATTGGCAGGCGGATTCTTTACCCCTGAGCCGCCAGGGAAGCCCCACGGTAAGCTGACTTCCCGCCGTACACACGGGGGGATACATGCTATATGGTGCTTCCCAGTGTGGGACCAAGCTTGCTCCGGGACAGGGGCCATCTTGTCAACCCTCTGCCTGGAATGAGAAGCGGAGGGGATGGGCCGTCTCCTCCGCCGTTTAGTCGTGGGGTGGGCTGGCAGCCTGCCTTCCAGTTGCCTTATTTGCACACCAACCTGCAGGCCCTGGTGAGACCAGGAGACGGTGAGACCAGGAGACAGCAAGACCCCAGCAAAAGCCCCTCTTCCTCCCAGGACCCTCACAGCCCCCACGACTCCTGCCCAGGTGTTCCCGGGGGTGGAGGAGCCTCTGGATCCCCCAAGCCTTTCCCATCTGCACAGCTCCCACGGGAAGGAGCCCCGGTACTTTCAGATGTAAGGTGTCAAGTTCAAGTCCAGCCACCCTTGGGAAATTGCCACTCTAGGGAAGACCAGAGAACTCCTGGGATGATGTGCTGTTTTGATACATATATGTCTTTTCTGAGGAGAAAATCCAAAGGTGTCATCAGATTCTCTGAAATGCTCAGAATGTGTCTTCATGATGCGGGCTCTCTCTGGAAGGACAGCTCAGCTCACCCACACGGGAGGACTTCTGTGAATCCGGGCGGCTCCAAATCCTGACCCTGAGGTTTGGGGTCAAAGTTCTTTGCATCTGGGGAAGGATGGCCAGCCGACAGCAAGGAGGAGATGCTGGATGTGGTCCGTGATGGTTAATCTCCTGTGTCAACTTGGCCAGGCCGCGGTCCCCAGAAATTCGGTTAGACACCGGTACGGAGGTTGCTGTGTTGGGAATCTTTTAGACATGGTTAGATCAGTAGACTTTGAGTAGAGTGGGCTGCCCTCCCTCACCTAATCAGCAGAAAGTTTTAAGAGAAAGAGACCGAGGTTCCCTTTGAAAAAGGGGACTCTGTCTCCAGCCCTCCCCGAGGCCGCCAGCCCACCCTGCAGCTTCAGAAGTGCTGGCCTTGGTAATCACATGGGCTGAGCCCCTACACTGAATCCACCCCCCCCCATATGTGCGGACATGCACACAGGGACACTCACACCCGTCTCTGGCGCTGTCTCTCTGAAGAGCCCTGACTAATGAGCAGTCCCCGTTTTCCAATGAACGTGTACTAGCAATTAGTGCTAAGGATTTCCATACACGATTTAATTCTCAGAATGACTCTGTGAGGCGGTCATGGCCCAATTCTGGGGCCAGGTAGAGAGCTGGGGTCA